CAGAGTGAGCCGGGAGCCGTGATGGAACAGAGCCCTCACGTCTCACAGGCTCAATATTCCACAGCTGCCGCCAATAATGCTCCACACTACATCACCGGCATTAAATATTCAGGAGCTTCAGCACACAGGCAGGTGGAGTCCTGTACCCTTCATTCATCCACCAAGAACAAGCAATGCTCAGGACTTAAAAAAAAGGGGATTCGAGGAAAACAATTTTATGAAGTCAAATACAACACGTGCTCTCCTGTCTGAGTTTCTACACAGATTAGGTCTGACAAGCAGCACCTGCTTCTGCAAATAAAGTCAGAACTTAGAGTTAAACACCTTTTAAATGGGGAGTTTGAGGGAGTTTACTCAAGTTTTTAAAAATATGGAATCAGTGTCCACATTAAATGTAAACAAAGCATGTAAAAACTTGTGCCACGTAGTTCACAGTTATGCTATASTCTGTAAAAATAAATAGCCAGATGGAAATATGGAAGGTTGACATGGGGCACACATGCACAGTCAGGTCAGTTTTCCACAACCAGAATAATATGATCAGAATAAGTGTTTACATGCACGCTGTTTGGATTATCAGTCGGCATAAACCACCTCTGTCATTCGGATTACAAATAAATTCAGATTGAGCTGAATCAGATAAGAATATTCTGATTGGGACATTTACATGCCACTTTTTTTTGATTAGCCCTTGTATATAGCTACTTCTGGATGGGATGGAATGAATAGCTGCCGGCGAGAGGGGTCAAAGTCAGCCCACCCTTGGTGCACCTTTGTGCCGTGAAGCTAGAAAGGGTCAAAATGATCAACATATTAAGATACATATTTTAAGTCAGTTTTCATAGATAGGAAAATAAATGCATGTGGTAGTTAGCAGCCGGTCACAAATTTAACAGATTTTGTTTTTCACTTTAAACTCATATTTTTTTGTTTGTTTGTTCTTCATGAGATTGCAATGAGCTTGCATAAAAAAAAACAATTAACTAAAAGACACTTTCCCAAATCAAACTAAAATTAACTAATTGTGTGAAGTGAACAAGAGGTAGCAACATCCAAAGCAGGTATAGCAGGTGTACTCAAGTTTTGCAACAACCTTCTTCCACGATGGTGTTGCTTTTCTGTTGCATCCAAATTTAAACAAGTAATCCCTCTTTACCCTCTGGAGTGTTTGCTGAGCAGTGCATGCGTCCAATTTACTGCCAATTACATCACTGCTGCAACGTTCCCTCACCTACAAAAAAGACAATATGCAGCCCCCTGTCTCACCTGCTTATTAATGCACAATGCAAGGTGCTTCCTCCCGCTGCGCAGCCTCCCCTCCTCTCCTTGGTGCATGTTCCTGGAAGGACAAGACTCAAGTTAAAACTCTCTAATTCAGATTATCTGCTGGGTGTTCGTGTGTGTGTGTGTGTGTGTGCGCGTCAGGAACATGAGCGGTACGTTCTGCTGCTGAGCCCAGCCGTACAGATGTACAGAAAAGCCAGCCTGCACAGGAGACCGGTGGTTCAAATGAAAAGAATAAAACACTGTTGCGTTTTCATGCGTGCTAAAAGATGAACGGATGAACGTGGCACCAACCTGTATGCGCCGCTCCTCAGCATCATGAGCTCTTCCGCCGCAGCCAGGCAGAGACGAAGTGAACACTTCGAGCCGGGAGCAGCCGGTGAGACACCAGACTTGGAAAATTCTCGCAGCCAATAGGATGCTGAGCCTTTTTTTTTAATCTCCGTTTTTTTTATTCCATTTTCAAAAGAAATGCACCCTCAAACGCAGCATTAATTATTCTGCAGGCTTTCTGTCTGGGGCTCTGGTGACAGCAGCGCACCTTAATCTATAATAAAAACGTTTTTTTTTATGTTCCTTTAGTGACAGTTTCTTTGCACACATTTGGCCTGATTTGAACCAGCTGCAGGCAAAGTGGAAGCAGGACGCTTACTTACAAACTTAAGACAATTGATATGGTTCTAATCCTATTAARTGATCATTAAATTATTTACTGTCCTTCATATCCTGTCATCAGTATTAAACTCAAGGGTAGGACAAATGTTATTTTAGACTTGCTTTTTAACTTTTATGTAGACAGCCGAGTCCCACTGAGATCACAGATCTCTGGCAAAGGCCTGAAGGCAGCATAACATGCATGTTTTTGGACTGTGGAACATAAGAGTGCATACTCCACACCATTGGTGCTCAATCATAAATGGTAAATGGACTGAACTTATAGAGCGCTTTATCAAGTCCCTCCGGACCCCAAAGCATTTCCCCCATGCACACACTGAATGGTAAGCTACATTGTAGCCACAGCTGCCCTGGGGCACACTGACAGAAGCGAGGCTGCCATGCACCGGTGCCACCGGACCCTCTGACCAACATCAAGGTGGGTGAAGTGTCTTGCCCAAGGACACAACAACTGAGACAGCTGGATGGGGGATCGAACCGGTGACCTTCTGGTTCCAGGAAGACTCCCCAAACCACTCTACCATAGACACTCATCCTCCAGAATCACTAATCCGCATGTTTTTGATGTTGATTTTTACTCACCTGATTTGACTGAATAAGGGATTAACAGGCTTCTGTAGAATTTGACAATATGTTAAAGTGAAGGAAAACAACTAAAACATGCAGTAGTGGCCCCCCCCCGAGGACCAGGATTGAGCACCACTGCTCCACACATACAGACCCCAGGTCCAAACTGAACCCTGGACCTTCTGTGACGCAACAGTGCTGACCACTATCCAAGCTAATCCAAGATGTACAACACTTCATTTCTGCTTAGCTAGAGAAATGCTATGCTGACAGCCTATAACTCATTGCTGGAGGAAGTTTGAACATGATGGTGCCATTGAATCTGCTGTAGTTTCCATAGGTCACTAAATGGCACAATGTTTTTTTGTATTTTAACGGGACGTGCACAGACACTTTGGTCTCAAGCATGACAGCAATTACATTCTAAACAGTGAAAAATATAAGCCTTTGTTTGGACTGAGGTTGGGTTTGCATGTTCAAAAGGGTGAAAAGCACAAATAAAACTGCTATCCATCATTGTTGCTGTTTTACTTGCACAAGTGCAGAACAACTATTGACTGCAGCCGTCCGTAGCCTGCGTGATTTCACACCTCCACTCTGAGACATGGATTTAAAAAGCTTCAGTGTCAGAAAAAAACAACTGTTGTGTTTGATCAGCTAACCTGCAACAAATTTGCTAGTTTTAATGGCTTAAAATATTTTTGTTAGCACTTTAGCTTGTGAAAAAAATACAATGCTTTTTGCTGTTGCTTAAAGTTAATAGAAAAGATGCAATAACCTACAGCCACCACAAGAGGATACAAATTGCCTAACTTTCTGCAATGCTGCCTGACATTTTCTCAAAAGTTGCACTTTTGTTAAAACAAAATTTCTAGATTTATTTGTTTTGCCACTGACCACACATCTCTTAGTGGTGGCCTTTTGGTAACTGTCTGCAAATAAATAAATAAATAAATAAATAAATAAATAAATAAATAAAAAATCCTGGGTGGGTATGATTGATATGTTTACATCAATGATGTGCACCCACAAGACCAAAATACTTCACATCTTTTTCATCAGAACCCATTTGAATCCAAAGCAGACATCTTTATGAGTTTAAGTACAAATGTAATTACCATCATTTATTTGTAGTTTGAATGACAAACAAAATGCAATTTAATATTATTTTTGCCGTTTCATCATCAAGGTACTGAGTTAGCACAAGGCATTAGTAGAAAGAACCATTAGAGAAAAATAAGCTGCATTTTATTAAGATCTCATGTTTGTCTTGTGTCGTGACATTAATGAACCTAACCAGAAATGCCTACATTTACTGTAATCTGGAAAAGGTCTRCCAGTTTTTACTGCTCCTGTTTCTCCACGCCTGAATGTGAAGGTCTACAAGTTTTAATTTTCAATGACCTTGTGTGCAAAGATTCTACAGACACCATTAGAAGTTTTTAAAAGTAGTTTTAATATATCAAGTAATAAATCAAATATCAAAAGTTGTTTTATTTCAAATATTAAAAATAACACTGAACAAGTTAAAAACCTTTGTTACGAACTGAGCATCGTGTTGGAACTCACAAACCCTTGGCAGTGCAAAGAAGACAAAGCTACATCCTATTTGTTGAAAATAGCATTCTCATGGTCAGAGGTGAACAAACATTTGAGTGACTTGATGCCCTCTGCTGTTTACAAGAGACCTAATCTCTGAAACAGCATCTAGGGACAAGAATGCAATTTTACAAAGAACGACTAGCTGGCAGAGAAAAAGAAAACGTATTTGGCTTGGTTTTTATAGAAAGGCACCTCAAGTGGGGAACAAAAATGTAGAAAAAAGATAAAATTATGGAACAACTTTTAGTAAAAAAGCTTTAACAGTGCAAACCCAGAGCAGTCAGGTAAAATAGTGCAACATTTTGCTCAAATTGATGCTTTCTAAGAATATTATTTTAGCGCATACATGTCTAGAATAACAGAGTGCAATTTTGCAAAAGACCAAAGAATGACAGGTATCATTTCAGAACGCTCCTGTGGGCGAGGGATGACAGATGGGTAGAGCAGTGGTCTGGGAGCTGAGAGCACAGAGGGAATTAGAAATGAAAGAGGGAAAAATACCACAGATGAAGTAACAGAGCAGTCTTTTAAAAGCTGATRTAGCGCCCGAGTTATTGAAAAGACTTCTGTTGATGTGTGTGCATACCTGAGCGCCGAGCCTGGAGAGGTACCTGTTCCGTAAACCGAACGCAGACATGGGCGTCAGCAGGCCGGCGCGCTCGCTCGGAACCACCTTACCGAGCCTTTTCTTAATCCTGCAGGGATAATAATGTGGCCAGCATAAACAGCCCTGCAGCCACTTTAACATCATTATGTTCCTAAGATGATGAATCACAGCGAGCTGCAAAAAAAAAGGTCCACAAGAATGTAGCACAATACAGGGGAGACACTGGAGACAGAAATACTACAGGAATAAAAACGTTGATTCAAAAAAACTAAAAACAATTCAGGTTTAATTGAATGTCAAAAGTCTTGGCATCAAGGTGGATTTGCTTCTACAAAAAGCAATCTTTAAGTGAGTTTTCCCTCCATAATTTTTCTCAATCACATATTTTTAAACATAGATTATTAAAGGTTGATGATAAAAAAAGGAAATCAAGACAAACACTGACAGTTACACATAAACCACACAGCTTCAACACAGTTGTCCAAATGAAGAGAAAATTAAGACCAATGCATTTCTGACCTTTAAAATCAGCTCTTTAACAACTGATCATTTCTGCACGTGTTAAATGTTTTCTGAACAATTCAACTGCGACTTTGTTTTTTTTTGGCCCAGCTGAGGTAGTGCATGTTAACCACGTACGACCCTGACAACAGCTAAAATACAAAACTACAAGCAAATGACTGGAATGCTGAGAGGTAAAAGCAGAGTGCAGGAACACATTAATGCAAATGATGTAAATTTGGAAAGTGTTAAAAACAAAGCCATGACCCGAGCTCGAAAAATGAGCAAATCTGCAAAACATAAATTATACGGATATTTGGACACAATAAAAAAAAGCTAAAACCATTACAGTGTTAAATGTTTTCATAAAAAGATATATCCAGATTTAGTTGTAATATTGTAGTAATATATCATTAACAAAATTATATTTTTTATGAACTTTGAGAAAAAAAATAAATTAAATTAAATTGTGAAAATATAAAATACCTGACCAAAAGAGTGAGCTACATATATCTATGGTTAAAAATAAAGGTAAAACTTAGCATGACAAGTTAAGTCCACTTGAAAATTGTTTGCAAAATACAACTAAGACCCAAAAAGTCTCCCAATTATATATAAAAAATCTGTATCTGTAATCAAATGAATGGGTGTTAAGATAAACAGGCACTATTCAAGTTAATACATATTACATACATTTTTTAAAACACTGTCCAAACTTGGTACTGTTATATGTCAGTGTCCTGATATAGATGGTTGCCAGTTAGATCTATTCAGTGTTGTGCCACAGCCAATCCCAGACAGTCAGTTTCAGGTGCGAAGAACCACAGATGACATCACTGGGTGGAGTCAGAACCGCAGTCCCGCCCCATGTGGCCGTAGGCTGAAAGCTCTGGGGTGGACAGTGCAGCCTGCTGGCTCTGAAGCCCAGGACCATGTGTGTTCGCTCATCATCAWCATCATCATCATCTGGAAAAATAGTCATTACAACACGGAGCAGAAAATATTAGACAGTGTGCACATGACTCACACAAACACACACACAAAAAAGAGACTTGTCAGAGAATTCACAGTGTGTGGTGAGGCAGAGAGAGAAGTAAAGCTCAGTTCCCTTCCCACTCTAAGTTCATGCAAAAAAAAAAAGAGCAGGACGTAGTCACGAGCAGCTTTTAATGGGTCACGAGTAGTTTCAGAACTGGCATTCATCATCATGCAGCGTTTGTAAAACTGAAAGCTTCGATAAATGTAGCAACAATTTATTTGGTCAGGAATCCATTTTCTGCATCATGCTGCAGAATATTAATTTGCTCTTGTTAATTCTACAGAACACGATATGAATGGAGTCAAAGCATTTAAAAACAAACAGAAAACAGACCAACTAAAACATTGAGAAAAGCTTTTAAACGAGAACAAGAAGTGCTAGAGTTAGCTGCTGCTTCTAATGCGTGAAAGAATAATATAAATAACTGTATAATGCAAAACAAACAGGGACAAAAATACCATTCAAGTGAACTACTATGAAATATTTTAAATATAAATTATACTTTTTTTGTTCAGCGTGGCTCGCATCAGCTCCAGGCGACCTGGCCTTATTCTTCCCAGGCCCTGGTTGTGTTGACCAGAGAGTCGCCTCGATGTGGGCGGGATCATAACGTGCAAATCTTATTTAATTTTATTTGCAACACAACAATAATGGACTACACCAAACTCGAAGGAAAAGTACTGAAGGCTGTACAGGACCAGGGGTATGACTCTTAAGATGAGAGGGCAGGATGACAGAACCATTGGTAGCTGATGTTTGACCAGTGATCCAATCAATGAGCAGCAGTAGCTGATGTCAAACTGGGATAGAACCACGGGTTTCAGGGTTCCAGAAATTGGAGTGGATCTGGGCCAAAAGGGCTAATGCAAAACGCTCTGAACCTGGGTTTGAAGCCACAAAAAGGCCTTTTAGCTGCTAGATGTTCTGTGTAGTCAGAATGAACCATTTTTAGCAAACTGCAAGCTGCACTAAGAGCTATCTACAACAGGTAAGATAGTAATCATTCATAACCCCATGCCAACATATTGGAATTATTATGCTGACAGCTGCGAAACTTTGGATGCGGGAACATTTTTTAATGCTTTTGTTTATGTGGTACTTCCCCTAGTTTTCTATTTCCTGAAACCATAGCTCTCAGAGTGTCAATTCATTCTACAACAAGACGAGGAAAATGTTTTGAGAGCAGCACTCAATGATGTTCCAAACATTTGTCTTTATGAGGTCATAGTTCACATCAAAACACAAATAAAACACCAGAACTGGACCATGCCTGATTTTATTGCCATCACGAGCTCCAAAGTGCTCACAGGTGCCTAATTTTTCCCCGTCAGAAAGAAAATTATTTATTCACTGTGACAATTGGGCACTTTTCCTTGCTGTTGCCTGGATGTGTTGCTTTTAAAGTCGTAAATTAACATTTATAATCAATATACTTTAGCTTGTAAACTGCAGTGCCATTAGCACATTTGCATTAACGACCACTTAAAAAACACAATGGAGTATAATCAACCGTTATTCATAATTATAGCCTGATTCGACAGCCATTTACACTCACGAGTCTTGTAAACTATAATTTACTAGTCGTCCATTAAACAAAGAGCCASAGATATACAGTAAACTGAAGCTCCGAATGTGACTCGAGCATTAGGAGGGTGGAACAGAAACAAATCAACGAAAACTTTACTTGAGCCACAGTATTTAAACATTCAAATTATTTTACTCAACTCTTCTTCTTCGATTGAACGACAGATTCAGGGCTCTTACTCTTATTCAAGTCATTTCTTTGTCACTTGCTTTTATGAGTAAGTTGTGCTTCTTGTTCATTTATTAGACTGAGGGTAGAGTGAGGGATTAAAATACTTACTCTGCATCTGTAGTGGCCTCTTTCTGGAGTTTGACTCTGGCTGCAGCTGACCGGTTCAAATCTCCACCTGAAAGAAGGGAGCGAGATGAGGAAATGAGTGGGTCTCAGTGTACGCAGAAGGTGGGGAGAGTATAAAGAGGTCAAGAAAAAAATAAAAACAGAATTTAAGGCTCCAGGCTACCTTTGATATAATCTACGAAGTACAGCATCACTACTGCCATCAGTGCAACTGCAAAASAAATAAAAATTACGGATTTGCCATTCAAAAATGTCTAATAAAACTTTAAGTGACTAGATACTGATGGCGTGTTGGAGCCGACGATTAATACTGACTGCATATACAGGCGCAAAAAAACACTTCCAACACCAGGTATCCTCTGGAGTCTAGGATGGCCCCCGCTGTGATGGCAATGACAGCAAGTCCAAGATTCTGGATGGACTGCATGCTGGTGGACGAAAATGAACAAATTAACTGCTGATGAGACGGCMGATGAAGCAGAACATGGTTATTTTTTTTAGTGAAGCCATAATTATGCTATTAAAAAATGCACTTACAAGCCATAGGCTGTGCCCAGCTGATGTTCAGGCACCACAAAGGCCACCATGGGCCACAGCGCACAGGCCAGTAAGGAGTAGGAGGCACCCAGGAGGGACTGGAAGACAAGAAGAGGACACATACTCATCATCTTTAATACATCTTGTAAGCTCACACAAAATTCCTTCRTAAAAACTGATACAGCCACATTATGAAAATGCCACGTTTTTGTCTAGAACCACASGTCACACGTGTTTGAGTTTAATAATAAAAAATAAGTGGGTAAACGTATTACCATAGCGATCCACGGGTTCCAGAAGGTGAAAGCTAGCATAATGTGAGCGGCGAGCGTTGCAACCACTGCGATCATTACCCAAACCACATTCCTGCCYGTTTTATCGACAATAAAGCCCAGAACTGGAGATGCGGGTGCTGAGATGATGTAAACAATACTGAAAGACAGAAAACATCACGTCTACGTTAACAGATTCAWCTTTATAATCTTCTTTCACAGGATCCCTTTCTCCACTTTCACTTCCTCTGGTTTTTCTTTTATAAAACTGTAGATCTGCAGCACTAAAGCTCAGTCTTTACAGTCGTTTCTTCACAGCTTATTTAAGAGGGTGTGGTGATACACTTCACTTTGGAGATTGTTAAACATAAATTAACAATAGTGCGTGTGCACACATACACTGTGATATACAATTTTCACCTACATTGCAGTCTCCCATTTAAATGGTTCCATAAACCCTGAGCTTCACTTTAATTTCATTCTTGTGTTTTAAGAAGCTAACACTAAGAATGCTTAGACTGAAACAGTTGTTTAATCGGACTACTTAGTAAATAAAATATATATTCTTAATCATCTGTCACTACTGAACTTATTAATAATAAATATGTCTGATTTTTTTGGAGAAAAAAAAACACAAAAACAGTATTTTAGTTTAGGTTTTTTGAGGTTTACTTGGGGTTAAAATGAATTTCTCAGGCAAATATGAATTGTTCACTCAATATTAGAGAACATGTTAAATAATATTTAATAATTGTTTAAGGTTAAGTGTTGTAATATCTACAAAAGTACTCTCTGACTTTACATAAAACATGTTAATCATTTTATAGACAACAGCAAGATATTTCAGAAGCGACTCTCTGGCGCTGTTCGAGGTCATGAGCCTGCAGATGTGGGATTGTTTTTTGTCTGAAAATGTGAGTGTGTGTATAAAAGCAGAGCAGCTGAAACTTTGAGCAGGCGAGCAGAGCAATATTTTTAATGCTCGATTTTCTGTGTTTTTGGCTGTTCTCCATATTTGCCGGCAATAAATTGTGAATCTGTGGAAAATAAATTACTGAAGTCTTTGCCTGATCTTTGTGATTTTTTTCCTCCACTACAGAAACCAAAACAATTTTCTTTTTGTCTTTTTAGTGGTGTTCCTATATGCTTCACATAAAACATGACACTTGTCTAAATTTCTCCTTGCAAAAAAGTTTAGACATTTTATTAAGTTCTTATTTTTAAAATGTCAAAAAAAAGTATGTCTCTTTAAAAACTAAAAAATACAAATAGCGCCAACAACAGTTATTGTCTGCAACAGCTTGTCTGATACACCTGATCTGAGTTACCTGTTGACAGCTCTGGCTTGGGCTGGAGAGAAGTTGAATTTCTCAATGAAGAAAACCCTAAAAAAATTAAAAAAAATTAATAAAAAAATTAAGATGACTCACAGTACAATAACTGCACATACTAAATTCTTTGACTGCACAAAGGTAAGAGAAAACGAGTTTACTTTAGTGTCAAAATTGTCTTTTTCAAAGAATCTATTGTGTTCATTTGCAATGAAACCATTTGCTCTCTGAGCTCCAATCGACTGGAGAAAAGTCGTGGCTGTTGCTAAGAGATCTGAGTGAGTTTAGTGAGGGATAATTAATGTGATCATTTTAAGTGTTCCATTGCAAATCCATCTGTCAAAGAACAAACTAGTAAAGGCTTTTTAGTTAGAAAAATGTGAAAACAATGGTATGGCTGAAGACAATTTAACCAAATCTGAAGAAAACGGAAGCTGATAATACATTAACAATAATAACAATAATAACAACAACAATAATAATAATAATAATAATTCCAACAAATTGTGAAGTTTGAGCAATTTAGGTGCTACTTCCCTGTAATTTATAACATTAAAAGGAGAGTTAGTGAAAAGCTGCTGACTGTAATTGATGCTGAGACATTAGAAGATAACTTTGGGGAAAAGACTGTGTTTGTGCAGCCAAAACAGATGAAATACTCACTGTCCCAGTCCAATAAAAGGGAAAATGGCCACATAGTAACCCACACAAATGATGAAGATGAGCCACAGAGTTGAGGGGAAGTGTTTTACGTCAGTCAGCTTGATCACCTCGCCTGAAAGATGAGATTACAAACACACAAAAGTAGATGTAGATCTTAAAAGATTTACATCTTTGACAACTAAAGGCCTATCATTTTTTGAAAGGAATGCCTGCCACCTTTCATTCTACAGTTTCAGACAAAAATCATCGTGTGTTGACAAATTATGTAATTACAGCTGGTTGGTCCAACCTTGACAAATAATAAAATAAATTCAAAATGTTGTGAATATGGAGCWAATTGACACCAACACATTATTTAGCTCATTTGGGTGTAAAATGTTTTTCCACTAACATTTTGTTGTTATGTACAGTAGATCACTGTTCTTACGTTTTGCTTTTTTATTAAATTACAACGTTAAATAACATATATAAATACAGAATCCTGAATCTAAATGTGTACATCTAAATGGAAACGTTAAATGCTGTAGTTAAGTGTAAGTTTACATTAAGATATTTTAGAATASAACAAAACCCTTGCCAATGGTACTCAATTCATTATGACATCATCCTGAGACAATAGCAACTGCTAACGCAATGAGGTATATTTACATTTATATTTTGTATATTCCTCATTGTGCTAACGCTTGAACACAGCTAACACTTCCCACGAGACACCAAACCTGCAGTAGCAGCCGAGCTGCACTTCAAACTGCCAGACCAAAAGTACCATCCATACTGTTTGCAGTSAAGATATTTTGAAATTMGATTTTAAATACCATTTTTAGCAGCGTTAGTAGTGGATTGCTAACGCTACTAAAGCTGCTAAAGCGGCCATAATTGCAAGTATGATGTCTTGAAGGGAAGTGCTAGCTGCGTTCAAGCTATTGTCTCAGGATGATGATGTCATAACATGAGCCAAACACCAGCGGCAAAAGCTGTGTTCCATTTCAAAAGACTAAAATGCAAACTTAAACATTTAATGTTTACATTTAGATTTAGTATTTAGTATTTACATATATTCCTTAACATTTAAAATGAATATTTAGTAAAAACTAGCAAAACGTAAGAAGAGTAAGGTAAATGGAAAATTTTAAACTATGGTTTTACAGTCAGTGAGTGAGCTAAACAATGAAAATGTGTTAGTGATTATTTTTTTACCTTTATTTTACACAATTACACCAATTTTTAGCTCAATATTAGTAAAACTGGCAGAAGTATGTTTGTGTCAATTAGCTGTGGCAACCATTTTGAAATGATTTCAAAGTTAATCAGTTGTAGAAGTACATCCAATGATTACTTTATGAAAGTTAAAATAAAACCCATTCAGTGRTTCATGGAGATATTTTGCTAACAGGGAAACACATACAGCCCCTAACTTCCCCAACCAATGGGCCTTTTGGTAGCAGGCTGGCAAAGTTCTAAAAAAATGGACAATTATGTGATTCTGGACTTAAATTGGCATCATTTGGAAAGAACATCAACACAAATGTGAGGCCAAACAGTCAAGCCTAMCAGTTTGAAAACAACCCCTAAAATTAGCCATTAACGGGCACCCCTGAAGAAGGAAAATAATAAAATACACTTTTTTTTTCCCTTTTTTTACATACCCGTCTTCCCTTGTTCCTTATTAAGGATCTTCTCCGCTCTCTTATCAAGAAATGCTAACACCAAGGCACAGATTAGAGAAAACACACAGGTTGCAGCAGCTGAAAAAAGAAGAAAAAAAATGTGTTAAAAAGTGTGCAGAAGTCCTTTTTAAAAAGGTTWTCGCCCAAAACCAGAAAAGTACTGACTGTTTCTGTCAATATAAACTTATCTTAAATGGTTCGATTAAAGTTTAACTTCTAGTGGCAATGGAAACAGACCAGAAAAGACAAAACACTGCAAGATGGGCAAAAAGTAGAAGCACTTTTACATTACTGAGAAATTGCTGTGGGAAAAAAAATACAAGAACTGACACTTTTCCCACCCCCTGTGATTCATCTGAGGCGGCAAGTAGCACTTTTAGTTCTCTTTACCACTTCTCTCGGTCTGTGCTGGCTGTGTTATCTGAGATCATCATTTACAGAGAAAGGCTCCAGTGTCTCCAACACAGAGAGACGGAGCGCATGTAACCAGAAACTCCATTTAAAGTCTGCTCTAGCTGAGAGAAACGAGGAGTTTAAGCRCCAGAGCATGTTACCTACCTATCATAAGTGACGCGCCTAATGCCGTGTACCCGGTTGAACCAACGGCAAGCGCGACTTTGTTATACACCCAGCCCATGATGTTCATGTTCACTGTGCTGCCCTGTGAACGAGGAGACARACAACTGAATACATTTTGTGCACCACATTCATTTCCAATGAACAATGCCAGARTTATTGCAGACTGGTGAAAGGCTGACATTAATGAAAAATGACAATACCTCTGTCAATTTAGAAATTGACCAAAAAATTGGACCTGGCAGTAGTTGGGACTGATCCCCAGCACAGATT